GCTGGTGCTGTGCAGCCACTCTAGAAGCTGTCGCTGCCCCAACCACCGCTGATTCCAATGCCACACCTGCCAACATTGCTGCTGTAGCCAGACCTGCATCCACAGGTGGGACCGCTGTTGGCCAGGGCGAGGGGGTAGGAAGCAACCCAGGGTGGGGAGCAGGAAAGGACGCAGCGGGCTTGGTGAGTTTCGGGGAGAACTCCCTGCTGAGCCAATGGTGGGAACCACCTGACACTGATAGGGCCCTGGGTTGGGGCCCGGTGGAGAGGGAGGGTCCGGGCCCCCCTACCCTTTCCTCCCAGATCCCGGATGATGAGGGGATCCCATAAGGACTAGGCCGCAGGGCCTGCATTCAAAGGACCAGACCTTGGGGTTAAGGGGTGGGGCTGGTGAACCCCGCCACAGTGTCCTTGAGCATATCACAAGCAGCAACATTGTTGGCAGTGTTTACTAACTAGAAGAGCTTGGATTTTGGGCTCTCCAATCTGAGAGATCTTTTGCCTGATTATCAAAGGCGTTCAAGAGCTGCTGGAGCTATAGATTTCTGTGCCTCAAGGAAGCCTTACCAGAGCTCTTGTGCAATTGTTCTGGAAGATGATCCATTCCAATGGACAGCTATCGCTGGTCTAGAAGAGGACCACTCCAGACCAGACATCTTTGCAAACAGACCTCCCCAACTTTCAGGCAAAGCCAAAGACCCCCAAATCAAACAAGATTAAAACTTTGAATCTGTTACCTCCATAATAAGGTAGCCACTTGTATCTCTTTCCTTGGAATTCTGTCCCATCAAACTCGGCACATTGCTCTGCTCGGAAGTCCCTGGAGCCCCCAGAGCAGCTCTGTGGGAAAAGAGAGAAGCCAGTTGCACATTATTCTCATAAGGAGAGGGGAGGTAAAGGAAAGGATCTTACTATGGAGTGTTCCTCACAGCTTCCCCAGAAACCAGCAATGACAAAGTCATTCCTAAATGCAGCTCAGGCACATGATAACACATTACCCTGTCTCTAGATCAAGACAGCTTCCTTCTTACCTTAAAGAGGGTGATTAGGGAACTACTTCTTCCCAGATGGAAGGTCTTTGGATGGCTACTATGCTACACCCAGGAACATCAGCAGTGTGAGTGCTCCCTGATCCCATTCCATGGCATTGTCCTTAATAAACTGGAGACCATCTCACAGTCACAGGAGTCAGACCCAGAGCCCTAGCCCTTTACTCCATATTGTCTTCCTGCTCCCCACTGTCTCTCAAATGCAACCTTAATGATCTATATGTAATGAGAATCTCCGAATGAGAATTTCTTCTATTATCCAGAGCCTAAGGTGGTAAGCAGATGCTGGAATTTTTAGAACGCAGAGGACACTAACCCTGCTAACACCTACAGCCACCAGAGTTGGCATGTGCCCAAAATCAATTGTGTAAGGGCAAAAATTCTAATCTGAGGTCACTTGTGAGCCTCCCCAAGCAAACAGAGTTCACCAGCGACACTGGCACTCCTGGGGGGAAGAAAAATCTCATTGGCACTGAGGGGGGCTCAGCACTTAGCTTCTGATCAAAATTAAGCTCCTCACGGAGGAGGAGCAGCCAGGAGAGGATGCACAGGGTACTGAATACTGCACAAGCGAATACCGTACCTGAATACTGCACAAGCGATAGTTCCGAGTTGGTCCAATACAGTTAGACCCACCATCTGCCCTGAAGGACAGAGAGACAACATGAAGTAATTCTGAAGAGATTGGAAATATCATCCCCACTGATTGTTAATCTCCCAGGTAACACTGTAAATTCATCAGCACGTTGCACTTAGCACTAAGACACATTCCTTGTCCCAAGGAGCTAACAACTGAAGATTCTTGGCATCTTTCAGCATATTCTCTTGCTGCAATCTTATTATAGACGATGTATTGCCACAGGGTGGTTTTTAAGTTTTCTGGGGGCAACGTATTTTTTTTTAGCAATTAGTGGAGACAGTTTCTTTTATTCTTTGCTGGCTTTTTATAAACACGGAGCGCTCTGTCTAACAATATCTGTGAGATAAGGCATGTCGACCTGGGGGGGGGGGGGGGGGGGAAGGAGGTGGGG